AGGGGACGAGGCCCTTTAAAAGCTGCCCTTTCAGATACAAACAACACCCCGTGATTTAAGGTACTTTTATTTTAGTGTTCCGTGAAACCAAAAGGCATTTAAAACCAAACAGGTTCCCAGGCTAAAAGCAGACAGTATGAACAGGGAAAAAAACCACATTCAGATCCTTCAATCATAAAACAATGCATTTCATTCTTAAGGCCCTTAAAGTCAAGGTGAAGCACCTTGCTGGATATAAAACACCAGTCCCCTGATGCCAAAGCAAGGCTTTGACTGGTATTGCCAGTATAAGACTGAAGGATGAGGTCTGTGCGATGCTTTTGTGGTTGTGGAAGTCAAAAGACCAGCGAGAACAACCCGGGCTATAAAGGCACAAAAGGCTGCCAGGAGAGGATGTGAATGGTTATAAGGCTTCAGTCTCCAAGGAGCCTGCTAAGAGTGGGTTTTACCACGTTGTTTCTGTGCCTCTCACTCCAAGATGCGCGTTCTCACCCCTGTGATCCAAGCGTCACACAAGCCACGCTCCAAAAGCATCACACAAACCCCACGGTGCTGGCAGCAGGACCCATCCACGAGGGCAGGAAAAAGCAAGAGGCCAGCCCTGCTTCCCAATGCCCAGTTATGACCATGGGTAATGCCATCCCGGGTTCCTGAAGCCGTCAGTCACTGTGTAAAGGCACAACTGGTTTTCCTGGCTCTCCGACCTACACCATCAGACAGCTGTGGAGTACAGTCTAAATAACAAGTCCTAGAGGTCCAGGCAACTGTTGCTTTCCAGAGATGCACCAATCCTTCATCTTCCTCATTACTTCAAGGCACGAGAAGCAGCAGCAGTAAGTAAGGCACCCAGTCCCACTCCAAACTAAACCCAGCACCAAGAGCTGAAGGGGGCAAAGCCGTCTGTGTTTCACCCCCTTCATGCACAGAACACACAGCACAAAGAACCCACGGCTGAAGACATCTGCTCAACCAGAAACAAGTATCCCAAAGTCTTCAGAAGGCTCTTAACACTTAAAGGCTTGGTTCAACTCCAGCATCCCACGAGGAAAAGCTCCAGACTTTGGTTGGAGTTGGTAAGAATAACAAGGGGATTAAGAGCAGGTATAGGTGTTCCCAGTGAATGGGCACACCTCGAGGCAAATATATTAACTATTTTCACTACAAAAATACAGTATTTGAGGAGTTTCCAGTAGTTTAGGACAACAGCTAACAGGTTGATAGCTGATCCAGCTGGTCCAGGCCCTAATAAAGTGCTTTGCTGTAGAAAAACTGAGTTAGAAGCTTGCCCCTTCCAAGCCAGGAGTAGCCCAACAGACACCTTTCCAGCTCCCAAAGGCAGGAGTTTTGCTTTGCTCCTCTGCTACCCCTTCCTTTGGGTACTTCAGCTTTCCTCTAAGCCTTTGCTGGACTCTCACCACTCTGAGAAGTCCCAGAGGTGCAAAGAGGCATCTGATTGTGAGGCTACGTTTGGGTTTGCAGTGGTGCTGCTCCTTAGCATTAAGGCTGTATTGCTGGTGGTGAGATGAGGAGAGCATATCTGTGCCTCTCCAGCCACCCATCAAGGAAGCAGACTGAAGGGCATCAACTGCCTCATAAAACACTCACTCAGCTGCCTAAGATTCATTCCATTCTGAGCAGCAAGTCACCAAGAAACTCAATGAGACCAAACACTGGCACTGTGACTGCTCCCATCGTAGGGGAGGGGGATGTGGTTCCTCTCTTGGCTCTACAAGGAACGCCCCTAAGAAGCCTGAGCACCTTTGAAGGTTGCTCCATGCCCCAGCTTCAACACCCAAGGTGTTTAACTGCAGTGGCATAAAGGAATCACCGCAGACCTCCCCTGCAGCATCAGACCAGGGCCACGCAGGTGTGACAGGGGATCCACACCTATTCAAGACTAAAGCACATCACCCATCTGCCTCCCTCACTCGAAGGAATTGAATTTGAAGGCTATCAGAGAACAGTTTCTGATTGAAAACCCACCTTCGGCTCAAGTTCATCCCTACCATTCCTATGGTAGACAAACGTACCATATCCCAGCGCCTCCTGGACCAAAAGAGCTGCAAGTCTTCCCCTTGCAGAGCTGCTTTGTAAGCAACGTGTACTCGATGAGAGGCTTCTTCCTTTCCAATCTAAGCTTTAACTTGCATTGATTTTTACAACACAGCCCTGGTCTGAAGCACAACATCTTTGGACTTGGTCAGCGTAGTGAGATTTTGGTTTAAATCAATCAAATCTTCAAGCTCTATAAGTTAAGATGTAGAAAGAAGAGGGATTCATCTATGAAAGCTGCTACAAAATGAAACCATTAAAATCCAGACCTTCACACAGGATCATCAGGGCCTTGCTGGCAAGCAAAGCCCCTCCAACTCCTTCACTTTGGATGAGATGCTTGAACAAATCTTCCCAAATAATGGAAAGAAAGCAAATAATAAATAGGATAAAGTGACTCCACTCCTGGGCTGCAGATACTGGATGGAACTAAATCAAACTGAGGGTTGCTTAAGGCAGAAACAGGAAAGAGGTCGTTTTCTGTGGCAGCACAACCGGTCCCGCTTGCTCCACATCAGCTCCTTATCCATCCACCACACACTGGTGGGAATCCAGCCCTTTGTTCACCCAGCATCCCAGGAGCTTTTACATCTTCCCAGCCTTTTTGGTTCCGGATGCTGCGACACGAAGGATGTTGGGGGTTTCTTCCATGACCCTGACGAGCAGGTTGTCGATGTAGTCTTCGAGCTCCCGCACCTGGAGATCCTTCTTGGTGATGGCATCCTTCTGCTTCAAGACGAGCTGGATCAGCTCATCGTGTGTCAGCTGGGCATAAGCATAGGCAGGATCTGAAGGGTGGTATTTCTGAGAGAGAGGAGAAGGCAGGGTCAGTGCAGGCACATGGGCAGTGCAAAACAGCAGCACAGAGCCCAAAGTTCCATCTAAATGATGTTTTGGAGCAGGAGCACCGTAGGATGAAGAACAGGATGCTCAGAGGCACGCTGTGCCAAGGCATTGACGATGCCAGGCCAGCTTCCTGCTACAAAGCACCTTTTGGGTTGTTAGTCTAGGAAAACCCATATGGAACATTGCTTCTAGAACAGCTCTTTGGAAGTATATGGAGGAGAAAGGAGCAACTGCCTCAGTGTGTGCTGCTCACAGCACAGGGACGTGGTTTATGGAGCTTAAGCATCCTTCAGGCTGAGAGTGAGCTGTTACAGACAGCAACCATTGGTTTCAGCATCAAACCTTTGCAGTTACAGGTCTGTAACTCAGCTCTGGTGCAATTTACACTGGACTAATGCCATGCTGGGTCCAGCCAGCTCAGTGAGATGCAGGGAAGCCACAGCCACGCACCATCAAACGCCACTGTTCACAGACCTGGTGGTTAAAACATGCCAAACTGGGGTTAAACAGCAAGAAACACCCATTGAGGCCTTTGGCACTTCCCTCCTATTGCAGTCACCACTGGGAAAACACAACACAGCTTCTCCTTTAACCCTTGTGCTTCCCACCCTGACATCCTAAAGACAGGTTTTCCACCCACTGAGCATAGCAATGCCTCAGCTGGAATCAGGGAACCGGCATTTGCTCCTTTCCCACTCACACCAGAAGGAGGCACTGCAGGGATTTGGGTGCTAACTTCTCATTTCCCCCCCCTACTACAATCCCTTAGAGACAATAACAGTCCCCAAGGGGTTTTCCCTGCTTCCAGCCATCCTGATCCATGTGCTTCAAGCCAGGAGGCCTCTTTCGAGGCCAAGATTAAGCCAAAAGCTCCTTTAGATCTGAATTCATGTCCGTCCATCCAAGACTCGGGGGTCTAATAACTACTATTCTTGCTCTGCTCAGGATATAAGAACCTAAGCAAACTGTCTCAGATACACAACCCCTGTTCAATATAGGGCTTAAGCTTTGGGTTAAAGCTCCCCTTTCCCCTCATTACCTTCACACTGCTCTCCAGCAGCTTCTCATTCATAGTGCTGATGACATTCAGGGCTTTACTTTGGGACTTGTTTGCTGTGGCATTCATGGGCTTCACAGGATGGAGTCTGCAATGGTAAGAGGTTTCTGTTACAGAGGCAGCAAACTGAACACACATCTTCAGACTAAAAACACAGCAGGAAACGGGGAAGAAATTCCACCCATTTCTCTATGTCCAAAGGGATAAGAGATTCAGCTTTGGGAAGACAAGGCATCTGTGTCCAAGCTGTAGGCTTTTTGTTAAGCATCCTCCATTCTTTGCTAGTGTTATTGGTTTGATGCACTGGAGACAGAGAGCAGTAACCAGGAAATACACCTGAGTGGTAAGCCACAAAAGCAAAGCCAGCCTGGTCTACACAGTGGCAGTTCCCCTGAGCTCAGGCACTAGTATTTCAGCCCAGCTTCCCTAATGAGAAGCAATGCATCACTCGCTGTGATTCGGGGATCAGGAGCCCCGTTTGGCCAGGTAACAAAACATCCCAGTTTATCAGGCTTCCATTCTCCCATTCCTGAAAAACGGATCCATTCCACTCTATTTCCCCAACTGGACAACATGACCCTATTTCTGAAGCTGCCACCAAGTTTCCCTAATGGTTTTCCTATAAGACGGCACTGTGATGAATGAGAGATCCCCTCGAGTGCTCTGCGCATCCTTAGTAGCCATACGGATTCATGTGGTGCCAGAAACGATGCTACACAGGACCCAAATCCACAGCTGGAGGAAGTTAATGCCACATCACTGCAAAGAGCAGCCCATGCCTGCTGAGCTGTGCTCCCAGGAAGGAAAAGCAAGGCTCGGATCAGCACCTTTGGGGTAGTCCCCACGTTCTCTCACCTGTGCTTAGGAGACCCGGTTTCACCACCCTGCTGGGTTTGGTTAGGGGATGGCTCAGAGGGGGAAACCCAGGCATGCAGAAGCTTCTTCTTGCCACAGTTTCCTGCTTTAGCTGCGGAGCCCTCGGCTGCTGGCTTTTTCGGAGACTCTGCTCTATGATTTGGGGTGTCAGAGAGAAGGGAATGAGAGGAAGAGGAAGGCTGGGAAGCACCGGACAGGGAGGAAGAGGAAAGAGAAGGCTCAGAGAAGTCACCCTCCACAGCACCCACACTGATTTCCAGCTCTTGTTTCTCCAAAGGAGCGTTATCCTCCCTGGAATGAGACATCCCCCCTAAGCCTGAAGCAGCTACACTGTGCGCATCCACTCGCGCAGGCAGCATGGCTGCGGTGCTCAGCTCACAAGCACCAGCAGAGCTATCAGAGTGCTCTTTCCCTTCCTCATGCAGAGACATTAAATCCAAGCGCTGCTTTCCTCCCTCTGAAACGTTTTCACCCCCTGCAGCAAGACCCAGGTCCTCCTACGAGTCACCCAGGAGCTCATCATCGGAGCCTCCCTCTGGGATAACGGGGAGACTGGCCACTTTCAAGCCACGGTCTCCAGGCACTGGAACAACAGACTTGAGATTAGCAAGAGAGTCAAATAAATCACGGTCAGCTTCATTAGTTAAATGCCTGTTCCTGCTCTCAGCTCTCTGTGTCCCTGGGGGAGTGACAGGCTCTAATGAACCACTTCGGGGGAGGCACCCATGAGCATCTGAGGCTTCATCCTTAGGGAGTGGGAGCCCCAGCATGGATTTGGCACCATCACCCAGAGGGGGCACATCCTCCCCGATCTCATCATGAGCAACCAAGGGGCGCTTCTTCAGCCCTAAAGACAGCCGTGGTGCTGGCTGTGGGGTGACCAGGACCTCACTGCCAGCCCTCCCTACTGGATGGGACAAGGGGCAAGCTCCTGAGGATGGTTTGGCTGGTCCTGCTTGAGGAAGTGAAGCAGTTTTACCAAGTGGAGTCATTTGGGGCTCTTCCCATCTCTTCTCACCCAAGGTCTCCTGCTTCTCCTTCAGCTCACTCACGGGGGAAGGTGCCTGCTCAGCACCAGTCTCTGTGGTCTCCCTGTTAGGGATGGGAGCCTGCAGCTGGGGAGGGCTGCAGTGCTCTGCTGGAGGCAGAGCAGGCTTGTCAGAAACGGTGCTGAGAGGGTTTGATCCAGCTTTGACAGTACCAGGTAAAGCCTCAGCTGCAGAGCTCCCTGAAGCACTGAGAGCAGAGGGTTTCGGCTCAGCAGGGTGCTGTGTTGAGGAGCAGCCTTCATCACGAGGAAGGCAGAGAAGGGAAGAACAAGCGACAGCTTCCGACCTTGGTGCATCTGCTTCCCACCCAAGCTGGGACACAAAGGGATTATTGCCATGGACATGACAAGCAGAGGGGAGAGAAGATGCAGGTGGGTGAGAGACACCCTGAGAAGGCCACCCATCAGAGCCCTCAGCACCCTGACCCCAAGAGCTCTGTTCCCACTCAGAAGCAAAAGGATTATTACCACTACCAGAGACCTGCCCAGGAGGAGGCGCTTTGGGAACAGAGGTTGGAAGATGATGGGATGAAGGGAAACGGATGCCTTCAGGATCCAGAGCTGGGGGTGCTCTGCCCCACTCAGGAGTAAAGGGGTTCTTGCCATTCAAAAGCCCTGCAGCAGAAGGAGGAGCGGTAAAAGACGCAGGAGACCCAGTGATGCCCTCAGAGTCGGGGCCTTTTTGTCCCTTTTTGGAAACAAAAGGGTTATTGGCACTCCTGATAGGGTGTACAGAGAGGAAAGCAGGCAGGGAAGGAGGTGCAAGAGTAGGAAGCGTGGCTTTGGTTTCCTCCTCTGAAGGCACCCTGCAAAAAGGGACAAAACACTCGCATGTCACTTGTGGATGCAACACGAGGCTGGAACAGACAAGCTTGAGCACCAGGCTCCATCAACTCCTCACCCTGGAGATGGGTTACACTTGTGAGACCTCAGAGCCAAGCTGATGGGCTTCACATCCTTAAATATGCCTTTAGAAAGCCCTCAGTTTAGGGCAGAGCACTTCTGCTGTGGAGCTTGCACGGGTTTGAAGCACTGCCTATTGCACCCCAAGCTGTCTTATTAGTAAGGCGGTTTGGATGCGAGGTGTTTAAACAGGAGAAGCACTGAAGAGAAGAGACAGGCACAAACCACAGCCTTATTAGTAGGGGACACCTATATATATATATATATATATATAAAAACACCAACACACACCATTTATATATATATATGAAGGATAAAGGAGCAGAATTTCCGAAGAAGCCTTGTGTACCACTCCACACAAGCATCCTTCACGTTGCTGTCAGCCATGGCAAAAGCAGCAGGGCTCCCAGGTTAACACTTTGGAAGACCACAGCCAAACCCAGGAAAGGAGGGATGTTAGAACTGGTGTTTCACACCCTGGGTACGTTCCAAGTGGCACAGCTCAGACAGAAGTTAGGTTTGGCAAGAGATCCAGCAGGAAAAATGAGCCCTGCAGTACCTGCAAAGATGCCTGCACTCAGAGCACCGCTATTTCAGCATCACTGATGAGCAGCATCCCTGTATCCATCTCTTTGGCATACCAAGGAAGAACTCCAGGGTTACTATCTGCTACCAAAGCCACCTTCAAACCTGCAGGGACCCTGCAGAGCAACACGCTTCTGTTGCCTGCAGGATGCCAGGCCAAGAGGCACTGCTCTGGGGCAGGAAGCAGCCCAGCTAAGGCTGCTGCCCCACAACCCATTCCTGCCGTCTCTGAAGCAGAAAGGACTGACCTGGGCTTCACAGCTTTGGTCTTGGATGGGGCAGCAGCTTTCTCAGGTCCCCGTTCCTCCTCGAAAGGGTTGAGAGGCTGCTTGCTTGCAGGGATGTCTTCCACATGGTGTCTGGCTCCTGCAGCATCCCCCCTGCCTGAATCTGCTGGGGGCTCAACACATCTGGCCTCTTGTTCACTCTCCTCTTCTGGAATGCTGTTTCCCTCCTCCTGTAGGGTCCTGTCAGGAATATTCTCAGCATCCCCAGCCTTCCCTGCTTCCTTCTTCCCAGCGACCAGGGAGAACAAGGCAGACTTCTTGTGCTCTGGTTTTCTGGGTTCTTTCCCAACCTCAATGCTTGGGGGGACATCGGTTTCCAGGTACTCTTCACTGCCCAGCAGTTTGTACGATGGCAAACTCATTGACTTAAAGGTCTCCAAGGATGTTGACCCGGAGAAAGCATGACTGGGAGATGTTCTTCCCATCGGAGATGTTCTTCCCATCTCTTCAGGTCCTTTAGCAGGCCTGTAAGACAGGTTCTCTTCCGAAGCAAAGAGCTGCTTCCTCCGGAAGTTGCGAGGAGAAGGGGAAGAGGCTGGGGTGTTGTCCTTCATGCTGCTCTCTTCCATATAAACGTGACTGCCATTGATACACAGACTGGACTTGGAAACGGGATCGCTCTTGGATTTAAGGCCACCGAATAAAGAGAGCCCTTCTTTCTTGGGGTGGGTCGTGGTCACTTGGGCTACTTGCCTGCTGTCCAGAATCGCTGTTTTACGGGACTTAAACACAGGAGAAGGAGAGGACTTCTCTTCCAGGGCATTTCCAAAGGACTCTGGGGAAAAACAACAGAATAGGCAGGAATTCAAGAGGCAAGAACCTCCCCCTTGCTCTGACATTCATGCAGGTATTGCTTGTGCAGCCCCCCCGTTTCTACGCTAGCCCAAGGCAAGCTTAGCTGTGAGCATCAACACCCTATGTGCATCCAAACCTGCTACCATGACCAGAAGTGATGCTCTATGGATTTACCTCTTAGTAAATCCATGTGGATTACTAAATCCAAATGGATTCACTTTTTAGTACCCTAAACAGTGTGGAAAGGGCAACAAAACCTTGGGGAAAGGCTTTGTGCTGCATCAGTGCTGCAAGGGCCGGTACTCACTTTCTGAGGTCGGAGAGGTCTCAGGTTCTTCATCATCCCATTGTGCCTGGAAGTCACCGGGTCGAAGCAGAACCCTCTGGGTGCCGGGCTGCTGTGTTGGTAGCACTGACATGGACTGGGAAAGGGAGGACTTCTGCAGGCCAGGCTTGGAAAAGAGCGCTTTGAGCTTGGATTTCTTCTTCTCCTTCTCAACTGCCTCGTCCTCGCTGTCAGCAGGGGAGTGGGATGCGTTGGGAACGATGGATGAAGCCGTGTCGGAGAGGCCACTGCTCCTCTTCCCCTTGAGCTTGTCTTTGAGCTTGCCAAAGGGAGAGCGAGGCTTGTCCTTCATGGACAGATCGAACATGCTGGCTGTCATGTTGCTCCTCATGAACTGGATATCCACTTCGATCTCCCCTCTCTCCTTCTCCTTCTTCCCCGGCTTGGAGCGAAGCTTGTACCACCTGCAGCCACAAGGAGATTCCCTTTACAACCCAGCTCACTCGCAACAACAGAGGGTGCCTGTGGCTTACAAATCAAAGCCTACAGTGTAAGGGCAAGGGAAGAAAAGCCTTTAATCCGCCAACAGCGTCACAGTCACGCGGTGACTAAGGAAAACATGCCTTGGTGTGAAGTTATCAGTGAAAACTGCTTTAAAACCCAGAGCAGGGTGAAAACGAACGGTCAAAAGGGTTAAAAAGAAGGGTTCAAGAGGCAGACACCATGGAATTCCTGTATGAGAGCTCAGCCACTCTCTTCTGCCCATCCTTTCATCTGGCTTCCCCAAATGGCCTTTGAAGTGGGTGCGGGAAGCAGCAGCCTCCAAGAGCCTGACACTGGTACCAGAGAGCTCCCCACGCCCTCATACCTTTCATTCCAGCTCCTTCCCAGTTGCTATCTCAATGCCCTTTGAGCTCCAAAACCCCTAATCAACACAGAGCAGAGCCAAGCCAAGACTTGCAGGCTGTCTGGAGACTTCCACTCGCCTCCTGCTCGTGACTGGAGCGCACCAGGAGGGGCATTCCTTACCCCTTTGTGCAACACAACCCCGGGTACATGGAGCACTTCATCTTAAGCACTCAGGGCATCCTAAACACCATTTGCATGCTGCTATCTCATGCCCTCCGTTACCACTCAAAGCCTTTCGGACCGCATTAGGGCTGGCAAAGAAAGTTATCAGCGCCTCGCATCAGTTCTTGGAGCTGCAGCATTCCTGGTTCCACCAAACCAATAGGGAAAACACCTCCCCAGCTGGTACAGGGCAAGTAAAGGAAGCAAACAGAGCCTTTGGAGGTGCACTGGGAGCAGGGAAGGAGAAGAGGAAAGGGCAATTTGCTCGACTGAACATTCAAACCTAATGAGCATCACTGCAGATGAAAGCACAAACGTGCTCCAGAGGAACACTGGAGGGAAATGAATGCTCAAGCACCACGCTACAGTTACCTCCAGTTCCACACCTGAATTACAAGACACCAGCACCAGGAAAAGGCCTTTACAAGGGAGATCTTGGCCTTTGTCTGGTCCCTAACACTGCAGCGAGGGCAGCACAAGCTTTGCCTTTAACACAAGCCAGCACTGGGCACTTTTGTTCTCAACCCCGTGACTGGTTTCTAGGAGCATCCTGCTGGTTTCGGTGCCACAAACCATGCTGCAGGCTCTGTGCCCCGGGGGTGGCGGGGAGGAAGAGCAGGTCCTGTTGCAAAACACATCCCAAACAAGCTATGTGAACAACAGCTTAGTTAGCACTGAGCAGAGCACGAACGCTGCTACATCTGCTTCATTGGAGGGGCTCAAAGGGAGGAATAGAGGGACACATCTCCCATTCAAACCCATCAGATACACTCACAGCAGTGGGGTTGGAACTGATCCTGAGGTCCTTTCCAACCCAAACTCTCTATGAATTCTTCATCATTCATTGTGTGAGTGTGAACTAAACCCCAGCCCTTTCTGCCTTCCCATCGCCCCAGCACCAGGCTTCAAACAGACCACGACCACCTGGAAACATCGGGAGTCTCAGGGCTCTGTTTTCCTTTCTTCCCCTCGGTTTCCCTGTGGCTCAGACACAAGGAAACGCATCCCTGAGCTCCGGAGTGTAAACACCTTAGGGATGGATACAACCTTAATGACAGCTATATCCTAATGAAGGCTTCACCAGCCCCGATGGCTTCATCAGGGACAGCAGCCCCGATACCCGGCTCTGCTCTCAGGTGAGTGAGAAGAGGAAGGTGACTCAGGGGCCACCCCAAGCCGCATTACAAGGCTGCTGACTCCCAGTTAAACCCTCCCTGGACCCACCCCTGGCATTCCAGGGCAGTGTTTTTCATGTTCAAAGGGACAAGCATGACACAAGAGCTGCTAAAGGAAAAGCATCCCCGCTCCGGTGTCCCGCTGACACCAGTGAAGGCAGCCCTTGGAACACTGTGGCTGCTCCCACATGCACGTAGGCTCTAAGTGTTTATTATGGGGCACACATGGCTCTAAGCCTGTGCTCATTCCCAGTGTCTCCAGTCACTCCGGCTGTTCCCAGTGGTCTCTCCCAGTGTTCATCATACAGAGATGCTTAAAACCCAACCCAAGCAGGATGGGCTGAAACAGCCTCGAGTGCATGTGCCTTGGACATGGGGCTGGCACCCTGGACCTATGGGGGGCCTTCACCCCTGTGGGGAACAGGCGGGCCTCCACCAGAGCCCCACATCCCTATGGGACACAGGGACATTCCATGGGGAACTGGAGTACCCCACACCTCTGCCCCCAATCCTTGTGGTGCCCAGAGACCCCAACTCCATCCTTCTCTTTGACTCCTACGGGGCTCAGAAGCCCTCCCATCCCTATCCCAGTGCCCCCCCCGGGAGCAGGAGGCCCCACATCCCACTCCATCGCCTCTGTGCGGCTCAGAATCCCCCCCAACCCTAATTCCCTACATCACTTGGACCCCCCCATCCCTAATCCCCTACATCACTTGCACCCCCCCATCCCTAATCCCCTACATCACTTGAACCCCCCCATCCCTAATCCCCTACATCACTTGGACCCCCCATCCCTAATCCCCTACATCACTTGCACCCCCCCATCCCTAATCCCCTACATCACTTGAACCCCCCATCCCTAATCCCCTACATCACTTGGACCCCCATCCCTAATCCCCTACATCACTTGCACCCCCCATCCCTAATCCCCTACATCACTTGCACCCCCCATCCCTAATCCCCTACATCACTTGCACCCCCCATCCCTAATCCCCTACATCACTGACCCCCCCCATCCCCCCTACCCCCCCATCCCCTGTCCCCCTCTCCCCCCCCGTTCGCACCGTGTGTGCCGCCGGCCGCCCTCGCTCCTCAGCGCCTCCAGGTCTACCTCGGCTCGCCCCAGGAACTTGTCCATGCCGACCAGGGCTCGGTGCAGCACCGTGAGCCGCAGCGCGGCGGCCCGGGGGGGCAGCTCGAACGTGGCCTCCTCCCTCCATAGCGGCTGCCCCTGGCACCGCTCCGCCACCGACGTGGAGAACTTGTCCCGGCCCAGCGCCATCACCGTGTACGCGTCGCTGCCCCCGACCGCCGCCGTCTTGGACCGCAGCCCCCGGGCTCGCAGCACCGTCACCTGCACGTGGGTGGGCACCCAGCCCGCTGCCAGGCCCGAGCCGGCCATGGCGGAGGGAGCGGGAATGGGAACGAACGGGAATGGCGATGGGAACGGGAGTGGGAGCGGGGATGGGAGGGGGAGCAGGGATGGCGCGGTCCCGCACGGCTCCTCTCGCGAGAGCAAGGGGCGGGGGGTGGAGGGGCGGGGCTTGAGGGGAAGGGGCGGGGCCTGGGGTGTGGGTGGTACAGGTGTGTACAGGTGTATGTATAGGTGTGCATAGGTGTATGTATAGGTGTATGTACAGGTGTGTATAGGTGTATGTATAGGTGTATGTACAGGTGTGTATAGGTGTATGTATAGGTGTATGTACCAGTGTGTACAGGTGTATGTATAGGTGTATGTATAGTGTATGTATAGGCGTATGTACAGGTGTATGTACAGGTGTGTATAGGTGTATGTATAGGTGTATGTATAGGTGTGTATAGGTGTATGTATAGGTGTATGTACCAGTGTGTACAGGTGTATGTATAGGTGTGTATAGGTGTATGTATAGGTGTACGTACCAGTGTGTACAGGTGTGTATAGGTGTATGAATAGATGTATGTATAGATGTACGTACCGGTGTGTACAGGTGTGTATAGGTGTATGTACAGGTGTATGTACTGGTGTGTACTGGTGTGTACAGGTGTATGTACAGGTGTATGTACAGGTGTGTATAGGTGTATGTATAGGTGTGTGTACCAGTGTGTACAGGTGTGTACAGGTGTATGTACAGGTGTATTTACAGGTGTATGTATAGGTGTATGTAGCGGTGTGTATAGGTATATGTATAGGTGTATGTACCGGTGTGTACAGGTGTATGTACCGGTGTGTACAGGTGTGTATTGGTGTATGCATAGGTGTATGCATAGGTGTGTACAGGTATCTGTACAGGTCTATGTATGTACAAATGTATGTACAGGTACATGCATGTACAGGTGTATGAACACATGTATGTACAGGTCTGTATACAGGTCTATATCTGCCCAGTTGTGTGTACAGGCATGTGCATGTACAGGTGTATGTACAGGCGTATGATAAGGTATGTACTATAGTGGTGCAAGTATAGGTGTGTGTAACAGATGTACACGTATGTGCTTTACAGGCGTGTGCCCAGGTATGTACAGGTATTGGTACAGTACAGGTGTGTGCTGTACAGGTGCATATATAGGTGCATGTACAGGCATGTGCATGTACAGGTATATGAACGCACACATGTGACATACACAGGTGTGCAAAGGTGTATGCATAGGAGTATGCAGAGGGGTGTGCACGTACAGCTGTGTGCAGCTGTATGCACAGGTACAGGTACAGGTGTGTGTATAGGGTGTCTGTGTGTGTACAGAGCTGTGGGAATGGGTATGTGCACCCCTGAGCAGTGCATCCAGGTGCTCCGAGGCTTCTCCTGCAGCAACCTCAAAGGAAAAATGCCGTTTCCCAATCCCTGGCATTGATTTAATGGGAACTGGGATCCATGTCAGCAGCGGGGCATCTCCAATGAAACCCCCCCCCAAACCTCCCTGTAAGAGCCCTTGTCCTGCTGCTCCTTGTACCCAGATCCAGGCTTTGGGATGGAAAACGCCCTCCTCCAACGCTGCTTGAGCCCGATGCGGCTCCTCCGCTTCACCCACCCATCCTTGAGCAGCACAGAAACGGGGATCCCTGTCCCCCATAGAAAGGCAGGAGCAGTGATAGGAGCATAATCCACAGGGTTTGCCCAGTTCCCCGTGCTCGCAGCTCCTCTTGCTCTCCTGCAGGAGGCTCTTCTCCCCTTCCTCATGGGCTTCCTGAGCCCCGGACGATGGGAATGGAATTCTTCATCCTTCCAGAGAGCAGATCCACGATGTCCTGCTTCCAGCCCGGAAACACCCCGGGTGGGAGCTGGTCCCCATCCACACAGCGAGCACAGGCACGTCCCCAAGGCTGCGCTGCCTCTTGGAGAGCAGCTCCGGAGCCTTTTCCCAACCGGCTCCGGTTCTCCAGCACCAACAGCACAGAGGAGCCGGCTCCCTGGTCCCTGCTGTGACCGCGAGCACTCCCGAGGGAGCATCCCTCTGCTCCCCGCGCACTGGAGGGTCCTTCCAGCGCCGTCACCCCCAGCGCTGCTCCTCCCGTCCCTCTGCAGCACCCGGCCCTGCAGGAAGAGGGTGGGAAGTGATGGAGCATCACCCACAGGGCAAAGCACTCACTGCATCCCCCTGAGAGCACTCACTGCATCACTGGAAGCACTCACGACATCACTCTGGGAGCACTCACTGCATCACTCTGGGAGCATTCACTGCATCACTCTGGCAGCACTCACTGCATCCGTATGGGAGCGCTCACTGCATCCGTATGGGAGCGCTCACTGCATCACTGGAAGCACTCACTGCATCCCTCTGAGAGCACTCACTGCATCACTCTGGGAGCACTCACTGCATCACTGGAAGCACTCACTGCATCCCTCTGGGAGCACTTACTGAATCCCTCTGGGAGCACTTACTGCACTAGATGCACACACTGCACAGGAAGCACTGCACTGGGTGCACACACAGCACAGGAAGCACTGCACTGAATGAACACTGCACTGGATGCGCTCACTGCACTGAATGCACTGCTCAGGAAGCACTGCTCTGGATGCACTGTACTGGAAGCACTGCTCCGGATGCACTTCACTAGAAGCACTTACTTCACTGGAGGCATTGCACTGGAAGCCACTCACTGCACTGGAAGCACTGCTCTGGATGCACTGCACTGGCAGCACTTCAGTGGAAGCCACTCACTGCACTGGCAGCACTGCACTGGAAGCACTGGCTGCACTGGAAGCACTGCACTGGAAGCACTGGCTGCACTGGAAGCACTGCACTGGAAGCACTGGCTGCACTGGAAGCACTGCACTGGAAGCACTCACTGCACTGGAAGCATTCCACTGGAAGCACTGCTCTGAATGCACTGCACTAGAAGCACTGCACTGGAGGCACACACTGCACTGGAAGCACTGCACTGGAAGCACACACTGCACTGGAGGCACACACTGCACTGGAAACACTTCACTGGAGCACACACTGCACTGGAAGCACTCACTGCACTGGAAGCACTTCACTGGAAGCACTCACTGCACTGGAAGCACTCACTGCACTGGAAGCACTTCACTGGAAGCACTCACTGCACTGGAAGCACTCACTGCACTGGAAGCACTGCACTGGAAGCACTGACTGCACGGGAAGCAATGCACTGGAAGCACTGCACTGGAAGCACTGACTGCACGGGAAGCACTGCACTGGAAGCACTCATTGCACTGGAAGCACTGCACTGGAAGCACTTCACTGGTAGCACTCACTGCACTGGAAGCACTGCACTGGAAGCACTCATTGCACTGGAAGCACTCACTGCACTGGAAGCACTCACTGCACTGGAAGCACGGCACTGGAAGCACTGCACTGGAAGCACTCACTGCACTGGAAGCACGGCACTGGAAGCACTGCACTGGAAGCACTCACTGCACTCACGCTGTTCCCGGCTCCCGGCTGCTCCCGGTCAGATGGAGGGACCTGCTGGTGTCTCTCTGCCGGCAAACCTTGAACAGGAGAGCACAGCGTGTGAGGAGCCTGCACCCTTCCCATGACAGAGCATCCCCTGCTCCCAGCGGGGTGATTCCCTCCTCGGAACCTCTCTGTCAGCAGCAGCAGCCCTCGGGCATCCGGAGGGGCTTTAGATTAGGGAAAGCTGCTTAAAACCCACAGGAACCAGAACAATTCAAAGCCCGTGGGGGGGAACCCTCCCTGTAATTCACAGACGGTGTCAATCCACGGGAGGGTGCACAAGCGCATCCCTGCCAAGCCTCTGCCCTGGCTGCGGCCATGGGAAGCCCATCTCCTACCCACAGGGCTGACGGAGGGTGATGAAATAGGTTCCCTTCCCAGATTGTCACTCTGTCAGAGGGCAAAGCAACCCACAACATCCACATCTGCCTCGTTGCTAAAGGATTCCCCACGTTTTCCTTCTTTAAGGGCAAAAAGTAGGTGAAAGGAGGGGGAAATGCCAGGCTTTGGGACTCATTCAGCTCGTTTGCTTCCCTATTCACCACCAGGGTTTTCTTTACCCAGGATCAACAGACCCCATCTTGGCAGCATTGGGAAAGGACAAAGCAGGAGCAGGACCCCAGTTTTGCAAGCCAATGGAAGGGCTGGGGCTTTAAGGCAACGATTCCCATGCACCCCACTGTCCACCTGCCCTCCATCTCCTCACTGCCCCATCAGACCCCATCCCTGCCATCAACATCCCCTTCATTGCACCCCATAAAGTGCCCGCAGGTACCTACCCATCGAGCTGTGCGCACAGCGCAGTCTGGGTACCCTGCGACAAGGTGGTCTCCTCCATCCGGCTCCCATCCTCACCGGGGGCTCCCACTTTGCTGTCTCCCAAGGGACCCCCCGAGGGGCTGAAGGCACAGGGGCAGCGCTGCAGGTCCCGGGACACGGCGTGGAGCCGGCGGTCGGCGCGGCGCGGGCAGCAGAGCAGCTTGCGGAAGGCGCTCCTGAAGTCGGGGCTGCGGCAGTAAATGATGGGGTTGAAGGCTGAGTTGATGTAGCCCAGCCAGTTGAGGAAGAGGAAGAGCTGATCCGGCACCAACCCCCGGCAGAAGACCTTGATGATGTTGGCCACGAAGAAGGGCAGCCAGCACAGCGTGAAGGTGCCCATGATGATACCCAGGGTCTTGAGCGCCTTGTGCTCCTTGATGGCCAGCAGACGGGAGGGACGCCTGAGCCGGCTTCTCCTAGAGCCAGGGCTGGGGGGGCCCTGCAGGAACCTCACCTTGTCCTTACCGATGAGCTGGATGTGGCGTGTAGCCACGGCAAAGACACGGACATAGACAAAGAGCATGACGAGCAGGGGCACGTAGAAGGAGATGGTGGAGGAGATGATGGCGTAGGTCATGTTGGTGACAAAGTCACAGCAGCGCGGGTCATCGTAGCAGCGCATTGCCTGCTCATCCGCCCCGTCCCGCCACCAGTGGTTCATGATGGGCAGGAAGGAGATGAAGGCAGAGATGCCCCACACCAGGCACACCACAGCCCGTGCCCTACCCTTGGTCACCAGCGCCTCGTACTGCAGCGGTGACATGATGGCCAGGTAGCGATCCACGGCGATGGCGCACAGCGTCTCGATGCTGGCCGTCACACAGAGCACGTCCAGCGAGGTCCACAGCTCGCACACCACCGTGCCATAGGGCCAGTGTCCGCTCAGCAGGATGGTGGCCCCCGGGGGCACCACCAGCAAGCCCATGATGAGGTCGGCACAAGCCAGCGAGGTGACGAACACGTTGGTCATGGTCTGCAGCCGCGGCGTCTTGGCGATGGCCACGATCACCAGCAGGTTACCGGCCACGGTGACGAGCACCGTGATGCTCAGGGCAGCCCCCAGCACCCACTGCCGGCTCAGGCTGGCGGCCCCGCTGCAGTTACCGCCGCTGCCCAGCGCCGCCGCTGCCCCCCAGGCGCTGCCGTTGCCCGTAGGCACCGGGCTCATCTCCTCCGGACCGGGGCTGGCGGAGGGGGCTCGGCCGCTGTCCCCCGACGTGCGCACCCCGCGGCCGCCGCAGCCCCGAGCAGCCCTCGGGCCGGACCGGCGGGGCCGCTCCCCGGGGCGCTGCTGGAGGAGGAGCCTTTAAAGGCTCCGGGCGGCCCCGCTCCGGAGATCAATGGAAGAGGAGCGGGCTGCGGCACCGCCTCTCCCCAGCACGGGCACCCCCCCGGCCCGCCCCGCTCCCCTCCGTGAGCTCCAGCCCCACAGAGTGAGCTCCAGCCCCTCACCGTGAGCTCCAGCCCCTCACCGTGCGCTCCAGCCCCTCACCGTGAGCTCCAGCCCCTCACCGTGAGCTCCAGCCCCTCACCGTGAGCTCCAGCCCCTCACCGTGAGCTCCATCCCCTCACCGTGAGCTCCAGCCCCTCACTGTGAGCTCCAGCCCCTCACTGTGAGCTCCAGCCCCACTGAATGAGGTCCAGCCCCTCACCGTGAGTTCCAACCCCTCACCGTGCTCTCCATCCCCTCACCTTGATCTCCAACCCCTCACCGTGAGCTCCAGCCCCTCACCGTGAGCTCCAGCCCCTCACTGTGAGCTCCAGCCCCTCACTGTGAGCTCCAGCCCCACAGAGTGAGCTCCAGCCCCACAAACTGAGCTCCATCCCCAGAGAGTGAGCTCCATCCCCTCACCTTGATCTCCAACCCCTCACCGTGAGCTCCATCCCCTCACCATGAGCTCCATCCCCTCACCGTGCTCTCCATCCCCTCACCTTGATCTCCATCCCCTCACCTTGATCTCCATCCCCTCACCTTGATCTCCATCCCCTCACCTTGATCTCCATCCCCTCACCTTGATCTCCATCCCCTCACCTTGATCTCCATCCCCTCACCGTGCTCTCCATCCCCTCACCTTGATCTCCAACCCCTCACCGTGAGCTCCATCCCCTCACCATGAGCTCCATCCCCTCACCTTGATCTCCATCCCCTCACCTTGATCTCCATCCCTCACCTGTCTCCATCCCTCACCTTGATCTCCAACCCCTCACCGTGCTCTCCATCCCCTCACCATGAGCTCCATCCCCTCACCTTGATCTCCAACCCCTCACCTTGATCTCCATCCCCTCACCTTGATCTCCAACCCCTCACCATGAGCTCCAGCCCCTCACCTTGGTCTCCATCCCCTCACCATGAGCTCCATCCCCTCACCGTGCTCTCCATCCCCTCACCTTGATCTCCATCCCCTCACCTTGATCTCCATCCCCTCACCTTGATCTCCATCCCCTCACCTTGAGCTCCATCCCCTCACCGTGAGCTCCAGCCCCTCACCGTGAGCCCCAACCCCTCTCCATAGCCTCCATCCCTTCACTGTGCCCAGGACTTCACCAGAGCAAACCCATTCACTCCTCACCACGCTCAGGCTCTCCCTGGGCAGAACAGGCTGGCACTGGAGGGGACAACGCCACCCTGGTCCCCTGAACATCAGCAAAGGGCTGGTGAGATGCCAGCCCTATTCCAACACACCTCATCCAGCACATCCCAGTCCTTTTCCACTCCCACACCACCCAAACCTCCTCCCGGCTGATGGAGGGGAACCTTTGGGTGGGTGCCGGTGTTGTGGGGACCCCCACACTTCCTTCTCTTTCCCATTGGGGAGCCTGGGAAGCACTGGGCTGCTCCAGCCCTATTGCGGTGCCCTCCTCCCGCGGGCCCCATGGGGTCATATTTTCCCTATCAGCTATTTATACAAATCCTGGAAGTTCTAAGGCAGGCGCTCTCCAAATATGGGAGTTGGAAGCTTCAACCAAAAGGGGGAATGTTGGCAAAGAGGGGGGAAATAAGGATGCGTAAAAAATTATCCTCTTGGCATTTCATCCCATTCATGAGCGGAACGGGGCCCGGGCTTTGCAAGCTGGAGCTTTACGAGGGTGTTTTGATTTATCAAAGCACTCAGACAAGGGCTTGATGCAACCTCCTTTAGCTCCCAGCCCTGGCATCGGCTGCTGGCATGGGCCAAGCCCTGGCCTTGCTATTTAAGGGCCATTTGGCCCTCCTCTGAGCAGCACAAACAAGAGGTGAGCAGGGAAAGCGGCTTCGTTTCGGGGTGGCCGCACTCGTAACCCCAGCACCAGCAGCACAAGGGGGCATGGCTGGGTTCTGTGTTAAGAGCATCGCTAGGAATGTCCATGGATAGTGAGGGCGTTGGGGTGGGATCTGTGGAGCAGGCACCAGGGCAGGAGGCCCGGCTCTGCCATCACCCTGCTGCTGGCTTCCCACCCTCATCTCCACTTCTCATCCTCACCTCAGCTTCCCATCCTTATCCCTGCTTCCCATCCTCATCTCTGCTTCCCATCCTCATCCCTGCTTCCCACCCTCATCTCCCCATCCTCACCTCTGCTTCCCATCCTCTTCTCTGATTCCCATCCTCATCCCTGCTTCCCACCCTCTTCCCATCCTCACTCTGCTTCCCATCCTCCTGCTTCCCACCTCACTCCCCATCCTCACCCTGCTCCCATCCTCCCCCCACCCACCCTTCCACCTCACTCCCCCCATCCTCACCTCTGCTTCCCATCCTCTTCTCTGATTCCCATCCTCATCCCTGCTTCCCATCCTCACCTCCACTTCCCATCCTCACCTCCACTTCCCATCCTCACCTCTGCTTCCCATCCTCTTCTCTGCTTCCCATCCTCACCTCCACTTCCCATCCTCACCTCTGCTTCCCATCCTCTTCTCTGATTCCCATCCTCACCTCTGCTTCTCACCCTCACCTCCACTTCCCATCCTCATCTCTGCTTCCCATCATCATCCCTGCTTCCCATCCTCACCTCTGTTTCCCACCCTCACCTCCACTTCCGATCCTCACTTCTGCTTCCCATCCTAATCCCTGCTTCCCATCCTCACCTCTGCTTCCCACCCTCATCTCCACTTCCCATCCTCTTCTCTGATTCCCATCCTCGCTTCTGCTTCCCATCCTCACCTCCTATCCCCATCCTCATCTCCACTTCCCCAGCCACCCAGTGTGTGCCCACCAGGCAGAGCAGGCTGCTCCTGGCTCCTGGGCACCGATGGAGCTGCAGGGCTCAGTGTCTTCTCCTGCAGTGTATCCATGGTGCTTTCAGCCCATTCCCAGCCCACCATGGCCCAGAGGGAAGGGACATCCCACTGCAATCAAAGCAAGGAGCAGACACAGCCGAAGCAGGCATCCAGACAGCACTGCTGCTGCCTTCCCCTAGCACTTACAGGAGACTTTTCCTCCTCATCATGTGCCCATCCCTCCCACTGGCCAGAATCGCTGGTTCCCTCTACCTGCAGTGGGATAGGGAGGCAGATCCAGGCCAGGGATCTGGATCTGCCTCCAGATCAACAGCTCAAGCGGCTCTTTAGAAGTCTCTGGGAAACGATGCTTACATCCCGGATCAGAGCAGCTCCTTTGGCTGTTGCTGCAGCATAAACAGTGGGTATTCAAAAACACTTCTTCATATGTACAGCCAGGATGGATTAGGGAAGATCCCTGCTTGGGGAGAGATGGGATGCAGGGACCACGAGCTGCAGGGAAGCACAAAGAGATCCTGGTACCCATGGATGTATTTGCAGAGAGGGAACGGGTGCTTGAGTGGTCCCAGACACATCGGAGGGGGACGGGGTCTGCCTGGACATGGTAGAGGGGTGAGACAGCTCAAGCATCACAGCATCCCAGCCTGGTTTGGCTTGGAAGGGTCCTTATAGCTCATCCTTAAAGCCATGGGCAAGGACACCTTGCAAGGACCAGGTAGTTCCAAGCTGCATCCAACCTGGCTTTGAGGAGCAGCTAAGGGCGTAAATCACCCTCCTGATCCCATACAGAGCTTTCACACCCTGCCGCTCCTGCCTAAGGGGATGCCAAATCCCTGCACCGTTTAATCCCTATCCCACAGCCTTATCCACCCCAGGCACATTATGGAGTGGTGCGGGTTCACACGCAGAGCTCTCATTCTAATCCCCTACACCAAGGGTTGATCCCAGACACAGAAAGCAGATAAATCAGTGCCTGGCACTCAGCAGATAGAGGTGAGCCTGAGCAAGGGGCTTTGCTGCTCCTCTGCTCTTCCACCTCAGGTATTAAGCACGGTTTAATCCTCCATCCCTCGTGTTCAATGCAGAACGGCCCCTGTGAGCTCACCAATACAGGCTGGAGGGCAGGCAGGCACCAGCTTTGCCTCCCAGCATCATTAAACGCAGCGCATTCAGCTCCTGCCAAGGCTGATGCCACACCAGGATTAAAGGAAAGCTTTTTATAGCTGGGAATCTTGCTCTGTGCCCAGCCACTGTTAGAGACCAAGTGATAACACACAGCAGGAATCACATCAACGGCAGGGATGTGGGATCTCCCTTTTCCCCCTTTGGGCCAGCCCTTCTCATCTTCCCCCATTGCAGGAGAGGGTCAGGAAGGAAATGCAGTGCAAGCGATTGCACTGAGGAGCATTGGACGGGGCTCTGTGCACCCATGGGTGCAGGGTGCAGGCTCTGCTGCACTGGGAGATGCAGTTACTTTGCACCAGTAAGAGCCGGTGCCAGAGCTGTGTCGCAAAGCGCTGCCCATCCATGGAATCCAGAGCCAGAGCAGCGCTGGAGCAGGTCCCAGCCCAGAGCAAAGGGCAGCAGAGGAGGTTCATCAGCACAGGGAGCACCAGCACCACAACAGCACCATCAGCACAAGGGGATCCAGCCCTACACAGAGACCCCATGGACCAACATCACCCTAAGGGGCTACACAGGGCTGGTGGGACCCCCCCCATCTGCAATGGGCTCAGGGCCCTCAGCACACTGCCTGCACCAGAACAAGGTCCTAGCACTTCCCCATCCCTCCCTGATCCCTAAAGGCTTCCCAGGTGGATGGAGCCGCATCCCAGCCCCTTGGGGCTGAAATAGCCCAATGGTGAGATAGGGATGCTCTGGATGCAGGGAACCCACCCGGAGCCATGGAGACAGTGCAGGAGGTGGGTGAAGTGATGCTCTACCCTCTGCCTAAGCAAGCGATGCTCAAGGAGCATCATTTAGCCCCAAATCCACCTTGGAGGGAGCTTGATGTTCCTGGGGCCAAGCTGGGCTTGAGGCCGCTTTTAATGCTCTCG